GGCAGCTGCCCAGCCGTGGGACCAGGTGGGCACAGGAGACAAGTGGTTTCTTAGGAGGAAAGTATTTGAGGGGTAGGAGGATCTTTCAACTACTAAGGGGAAAAAGTGAGGCTGCCTGTTTGTCAAACTGAAGCAAAATCAGCTTCTTTTAGCCCACAGTGAGTAGTAGCCCCCACAAAAAAAACCCCCACCAAACAAACCAACCAACCCAGCTGTGTGATTTCTTTTGTACAAATATTTACAAAGCTGCAACCAGTAAATAAAGAATGAAATTATCGAAGTGCAATGAGTTCCTAGAGGAAGGTGGGAGCACTCCACTGGCAGTCCTGGCTTGACCCACCCCCAGTTCCTCCCACTTGGGCCAGGCATCTCCCCCCCTTTTTTGGCAGAGCGATGCCAAAGCCAATTACGGATGTAGCCCTTCCCCAGGGTTGATGGTGAAAGGCTGAGCTCACAGTTGCTCCATTTCAACTTTTTCACCTTTACCCAGCCACCATAATTTGTAAAACTTCGTAGGAATTTAATCACCCTAACTTTGCCCAACAGACTCAAACTTGGCCAATAAGCTCGAGAGCCCTCAAGGAGCTCAGATGATACAAAACCATGAGCCTCACCTCCTGAGGAAGCCAACTAACCTGCCAGAGACCCTCCACACAAGGGGCTTCTGCCAGGAGAGCAAGCGCTAACCCTGTGCCTGGGGGCAGAAGGAAGATGGTGCCTCATCCCAGGAAATATTAGCAAGTCTTTTCCCCAGCAGCGCCCAGAGCAGGCCAGCCCCGTTCTCTGCTTTCTTACTATTATTTGTTTGAATAATAGTTCAATAGTTCTTTGTCAGAAGAGGTATTCCCCTGGACATACATTTTTTGCACCCGTTGGGAAAAACAAAGAAGTCTGATGTTCTGCCTCTACCTTGAATGTAATCCTGAATCTTTCTGCTGTAACCACTACTTGTTTGTAATGTGTATTTGACTAGCACGCACTCTCCCTTCCACTATGCAGCAACCGGTGAGGGGTGATCAGCACCATCTGAGCTGGATGGTGTTGGGGCATCGGATCCAGAGCGAGTATTCAACTGGAAAAGGATAAAAGTGACAAGTTAACAGGGGAGAGAATGGATCTTTAAATTGAATTATTTTTTCAGTTACAAATATTTGGAAAAAAAAATCCATTTTATTAAAAAAATTTCAAACATCCACATGCTCAAAAACTTCTCTGCTATGCTGGTGGGTGGGCTTGGGGCCACTCCGCCTTTTCCAGCTAAGGGTGGGTGAGCTCTCTGGGTCTTACTCAAACCTGAAAAAAAAAGAAGCTGGCAATGTGGTGCCTCATCCCTTCTTGGCTGCAGGGAGAGTCCCTCTGGGTATGGAAATTACCTACCCTGCAACCAGAAGTAGGTCTTATGGTAGGAGAAGCACAAGCAGCTTTTACAGCCTCCTCCAGCCCAGTATGCTGGTCTGGACCCCAGCTGTTCTGGTGGTGAGGGGATACTGCAGCCTTCCTCAGCCAGATGCCAAACTGGAATGATTTTAAGTGACAACACTAACTTTCACATCAGTAAATATGCTGCAACTTCCACCCTCCTGTGAACCTGGGCTTCTGAACACAGTTCTCCCATGGCCTGTGCCCCATTACTGTCCTACTTTGCAGAAGAGACACCACCTGCTTTTCTCTGGAGAAGCTTGTTCATGTGCAGACCACACTGTCCTCTGCCACCATCCAGCCCTGCTTTCCGCCAGCCCCGCTCCCTTTGCTAAGGGCTGCCCTCCCACACTGTTCCTACACCCCTGAGTTTTGAGCATTTCTTGTTTTTCAGGGCCTCCACTGCAGGCACCACAACTGCTCCTGCCCCAGCCACTCCCTACCCTGTCAAAAAACAAAGTCAAAGCTCAGCACTCTCCCAAGATGCAGTTTATTTACAAACCCACTGAACAAAGTAAGAATCTAGTGTCATTCCATGAGTAGTTTGTGCTCACAGACAAGCGCTTTCAGTAGAAAGTCACAGACTCCGTATCCAGAGCCACCACCACAAAGCAGCAATTCTCCACTCCCGACCCGTGTCCCCGCTGCCACTGCAGGGCGACGAGGACGAGTTAGTCTCCCTGAGCCAGCGCCAGCCCGAACCCCGTCCTGAGCTACAACAGTGCCAAAATATACACGTTCCTGGAGTTAATTTACAGCTTTTTGGTTAACAGTAAAAATAATCTAGAGACTAAAATGACAGCATGAAACACTTGTTTAGGGGAGGGGTGGTTTTTGTCTGCTCCCAGAGGAGACAAGGCCCATCCCCTAAGGCTGTTACAGTGGTACCAGGCCAGTGCAGTCAGGCACCTCTTGTCAACACCCCACACACCAGTGCCAGGGAGGTGGGGTGAGGCTGATGCCAGTTCCCCCTTCTCAGCCCCCGCTCCAGGTCAGAGGAACTTGTCCAAGTGCTTCAGGTTTTGCCATCCCTCTCCCCGGCAGAGGCGAGCCCTTGGCTGGCACGGAGGGGGGTGCGCTATCCCTGCTCCCGTGCAGCAGCGAGGCTCTCCTCACCAGCCCGAATTCCACTCGCACCCGCAGTGCCACCTGCCAACGGCACCAGCTCTCACAGATCAAAGCCACCCCGCAAGGGCTGTCTCTT